CACCATGCTCGTTTGCTGGGACGTGGCTGTTAACAAAGGCTCAAAGCAAACACCGTGCGCTCCAGGGGGCAGCAGTGAGGGCAGACAGTCAACTATGCCCCGACCAGGAAGAGATCAGGGTGTGGTGTTTCCATGGCCACCGCACATAGTATGGTCATGATGATTTCTTTCCTTTCTGACCGAAGTCCAGTCGGTATAGTTAAATATTGGTAGAAAAGTCTCTCAGTTTTTTCATCTTTGTTTCACCTGCGTGCTTTAAATATATCCACTGTGCAACAACACCCCATTGACAGATATTACGACTCAGTCCTTTGAAAATATCATTGCATGGCTTTCTAGCTTTTGTTTTGTAGTAAGAAGTCAGACTGAAGTCTAATTCTCTATTTTAAAGTGGATGTTTCCTTCTGGTTACTTTCAAGATTGTTGTCTTTGATGTTCTGCAATTTCAGTACAGTGTACCTACAGATCATTTGGATGGATGTGTACTGAGATTTGCTGGCATTACTCAGTCTGGGCACTTATTTCTCCTACCAACTCTGGAGATTTTTTTTTTCTTCCACTTCTATTATCTCTCTCTGGAACTCAGCTTAGACTTTTATATTCAACACCCTTTCCCCAACTGTTGGGAAGTATCTGGAGATAGATTTTGCTCAACTGAAGGAAGAGCTGATTAAAAATTAGATATTTTTAAAGATATCCCATGTTGCCTAAGGAAGTAGTGAGGGTTTTGTTTTTAGTATTAGAAATGTCTGAGCAGAATCTGGGCATAATTGAAGAATATCTTTTTGCTGATATTAAAATATGATAGGGGTAAATTTATAAGATGATCTTTAAGTTCCTTCAAATCTTTTTTTTTTTAAAGATTTTATTTATTTATTTGAGAGAGAGAGAATGAGAGACAGAGAGCATGAGAGGGAGGAAGGTCAGAGGGAGAAGCAGACTCCCTGCCGAGCAGGGAGCCTGATGTGGGACTCGATCCCGGGACTCCAGGATCATGACCTGAGCCGAAGGCAGTCGCTTAACCAACTGACCCACCCAGGCGCCCTAAGTTCCTTCAAATCTTGAAATACTATTATTTAATAAAATAATGTTCAAATAATTTTATTTCAAAAACCTTCAAGGGTTGTTAAATATAGTACTTTAACCTAAATCCCATAGTAAATGTGCAAAAAGGGCCTATCTTTCCATTCTTTCAATAATGCTGCAATTAATTTTAAATGTTCTAAATAGTTGACCTTGATGTTCACTCAACATAGATTAATGTTGACATGAATAGTACAGTTACCTGTCAAAATTATTTTAGATTGCCTCAGTGTTCTTGTGAAGGCTTAATCAATTTAAAAGCATGTGTTAAAGAAGCAAATCTTCTTTCTTTGGCTACAGTTCCCATTTATTGTTCTGTAATTCTTATTTTCTTTCTTATTTTTTTATTATGTTAATCACCATACATTACATCATTAGTTTTTGATGTAGTGTTCCACGATTCATTGTTTGCGTATAACACCCAGTGCTCCATGCAGAACGTGCCCTCTTTAATACTCATCACCAGGCTAACGCCACCCCCACCCCCCTCCCCTCTAGAACCCTCAGTTTGTTTCTCAGAGTCCATAGTCTCTAATGGTTCGTCTCCCCCTCCGATTTCCCCCCTTCATTCTTCCCCTCCTCCTTCTCCTTCTCCTTCTCCTTCTCCTTCAACATATAAATTCTTAATCTCAGGAAACAAACCGAGGGTTGCTGGAGTGGTGGGGGGTGGGAGGGATGGGGTGGCTGGGTGTAATTCTTTTTTAAAAAAATTCTTGCCTAGGAGCACCTGAGTGGCTCAGTCAGTTAGCATCTGACTCTTGATTTCGGCTCAGGTCACGATCTCAGGTTCCTGAGATTGAGCCCCACTTCAGACTCTGCACCACTGGGGGTGAAACCTGCTTAAGATTCTCTCTCTCCCTCTGCCCCTCCCTACCCCTCTTGCTCTCTCTCTCTCTCAAAAAAAAAAAAAAATCTTGCCTATAGGGTCTTTGAAAAAAAGAAAAAAGCACAAAAAGCTAAAGAAAAAGAAAAACAGTTGGAATGATGGAAATGAACTATTTGGTAATTAGAAGAACAAATACTTCTGTTTGTCCAAATGCTTGTCTTAGGAAAGCACTTCTGCCACCACCACCCCAGATTTCTTATAGTCCTTAGGTCCATAAAGTAATTCATATCAGCCTACTTTCCCCCCAAACCCACACTACTAGGCTGCTTTATTATCACTTCTTTATAAATCAAACCAAAAAAGTAAATGAACTCATATACATAGAACATTTAAAACGGTGCCTGCAGATAGATGAGAAAGAATATGTCGGCAGGTGGGAGCTCACAAAAGAAAGGCTTAGGACCACTTTTGCCCTCTCCAGGGTCCTTTGGGTCATCTTTTACACAGCCTTCCACTGTGACTGATGGTGTATACTGCCCCCCAACCCCCGCTCTCTGTCCAGTCCAAAGGACCCTCTTAGTTACAGCACAGAAACATCATAGTTAGCCTGGTGATGGGTATTAAAGAGGGCACATTCTGCATGGAGCACTGGGTGTTATGCACAAACAATGAATCATGGAACACTACATCAAAAACTGATGATGTAATGTATGGTGATTAACATAACATAATAAAAAATGCGCATGCCTCTCAAAATTAAACAACAACAAAAAACATCATAAAGGCACCCCAACCACACGGAGCCTGGAAAACCCTTGTTTCCTGACCAAGAATCAGTTGTTGGGCATCAGTGTTTTCTGCAAGGGTTACGACCTGAAACTTCGTAAAGAACCATCCACTTTTGGGGGAAGCATTTCTGAATTGTCCATCACAAACCATTTCTTCTAAAATACCATCATGAAATACCCATTTGCTGATAGGAGCTGTCATCTAATTTGATGCACGTCCAGATCTGGATGAAAGATTAAATTGTCTTCCTCCTTTTTCTATTGGGTGTACAGTTTTTAAACCATCAATAGCATTTCAAGTCTTCTGAAGACAGCCTGGCAGTACGTCCATGGTTTGTAGCCCAGTATAAACAACATCTAAACTAAAGCAGTTTCTATTATGCAGTGTTTTCAGCTACTTGAATAAGTCAAATCTTTCACTGAAAAAAAGTGTGTTCAATAGATGTTACTAGTCCACTTTAGCCAAGCTGCCGTATCGCACAACTCCTCGGAGCATCCTTGTAAAGGCACCGTGTGTTTCTGTAGCTCACAGCTTGTGTGGCTGTAGAGAGTGGCCATGCACATTCATGTATCTGGCAAAAAGTTATCACATTTTCTTGCGGAGTTGAGAAAAATGTTCTTATTGCATTGGTCATAAAGAAACTCAATAACTCTTTTTTTTTTAAGATTTTATTTATTTATTCATGAGAGATAGAGAGAGAGAGAGGCAGAGGCAGAGGGAGAAGCAGGCTCCCCGCGGAGCAGGGAGCCCGATGCGGGACTCGATCCCAGGACCCTGGGATCATGACCTGAGCTGAAGGCAGACGCTTAACCGACTGAGCCACCCAGGCGTCCCAAAACTCAATAACTCTTATGACCACTTTGAACCTCTTCCAAGTAACATTAATTATTAATGTGCATCCATTTGAATCAATGTATTTATTGACATGTGTGTATGGTAATTTATAATTTTCAGGAAGTTAAAACTATGAACCTCATGCAAATACAAAATAAACACAAATCAGCAATTTTATTCAACTAGGGTATTAATGAGCAAATTAGTAATAGTAAAGACTGGTTAAAAGAATTTGAAGAGGGGTGCCTGGGTAGCTCAGTCGTTAAGCATCTGCCTTCAGCTCAGGTCGTGATTCTGGAGTCCTGGGATCGAGCCCCGCATTGGGCTCCCTGCTCCCTGCTCAGTGGGAGGCCTGCTTCTCCCTCTCTCATTCCCCCTGCTTGTGTTCCCTCTCTCGCTGTGTCTCTCTCTATCAAATAAATAAAATCTTTAAAAAAAAAAAAAAGAATTTGAAGAACATATATACGTGTGTGTGTGTGCGTTGAAACAAATGTGTTGCATGATACTAAACAGGTTAATATCTCTTAGGGCAATAAAATTAAAGGTTTGTGGTTATCTTTTCTACACAGCAGAAATTACTGGTCTCTCCATGGAATGAAATTCATGTGTGTTACTATGGATAAATATTGTTTACATTACCAATAGTTCTATGCAAATTAATTTCTAAGTCACAAAATTATAAAATAGCCTACAAATGGAAAATCAATTAAATGTGTACCCTCACATAGAATGAGATCATCGCTGGAGGGATTCTTAGGCAATGCCCACTGAAATCCTTTGCTCATTTCCAAGTCTCAATGCAAAGAACTCCTGGCTACATTAGGGATATGAAAAATGTGAATACGGTTCAAAACACATGAACTGTATTGTCCTAGAGCTGTTTTCTCTCAACATATAAATGAAGGCTGAGTCTGTTTAATTACTTATTCATATAGTTACATTTATCTTGGAACTAAGAGTAGTATTTATTCTTGAGAAACAATTATTTTTTCTGTCATATAGTCTTTCTGGGTTAGTGTTATATCATTAACATATTACATGTGTATATGTGTGTGATTACTTATATCTTTAATATGTTGCATGTAAAAAAATTAAAATGTACCATCAATGGGTATAAGTAAAAATTCTTTACCATCAAGCTCAACATTATGTTCACTTTTTAAGCAACTCCAAATAAGATTATTATCTATTAATTCCATCTGCTGTGACAGTTTATATAATGATTTCAGTGAATATTATCTCATAATTGGGAAATTTTTCTTTCAGATGTCTAAAGAGCGAATTTATTTGCAAATTCTTCTCACAGAGTTTAGACATGATCCATGTCTAACAATTGAGCTTGGTTTTTTTTTTAAAGCTCTCTTAAAGTGTTGATCTTTGTGTAGGGGGAGATGCTCTCTGTTCCTTCCTCCTATTATGTGTTCCATTCCTCGGTCATATTCCAAGGCACTGATTGACCCATATTTACCAATGGGCAGAGTCACTGCAGCCTGAAGTGCACACTCTCATTCCAGCTTCTGTCACCTCCAGGTAAAATCAGTAAGCCCGCCAGCCCTTCCTGCTTGTCCTCTTGGCCTGGACACACAGCTAAAGCATATTAGTTCTCACTCTGGATGATTTCAGCCTGGTAGGAGGCAGTAAATGAACAAGATTAGGATTTAGGCTAATGGAAAGAAGATGCTCTGTTCACGTCCAGCAAACTGCATGCCCCAACAGTGTTTTATCAGAACTCTGCCCATGAGGTATTAGACTCTCGTCCAGGTCATACCGTAATAGCAGCTTTTTGCCCAGCAGTGTTGCTCTATGTCTTCGTGTACTTAGTTCCCTCCGGAAAACTGTGTAGAGAAGGAATGATTGGTAACTTTACTTACACACCTAATGGTGGGGACTATTGATTTTTTCTTTTCTGCAAAATGCATATATTGGTAAATGTTTGATATATAGATGGCTGTACCTTACATTAAAATTGTTCATGTGACATAAAAAGAATAATGTTTTCATTAAAAAGAGTAAGAATGGAAAAGAGGGTTTTTTTTTAAAGCATTTTTCTCTACCCCTCCCCACAATGCCAAAATGTTATCAAAATACTTAAAATACAAAAAAAGAAAAAGAAAAAAAAAAGAAAGCCAAGCAAAAGGAAGAGAAATTAAAGAAAAGGGAATTGTGAGCTTTTAGCGAGTTTCTTTTATGTATCCGGGGCTCTGGCACTCCTTGAGGAGAAGTGTATGGTCATTAGGATAGGATTGGACTGTGACATCATACTCCCTGGACTCATAATCTTTGGCCACTTACTGGGCTGGGTAACCTTGGGCAAATTCTATCACCTCTTTTGCTTCTCAGTTTTCTCATCTGGAAAATGAAAATAATGGTTGATTATAGAATCAGGTCACACACTCTCTATAAAGCACAAGGTAAATGACATGATTGTGTATTTTCACCTTCATTTTTCACATTCCTCCTGTGAGAAGCACATAGCATTTCAATGAGGAAAAGTAACCAACATGGAAGATCACTTCTAAATTATTAACACTGCTTCTTCTTGTAATAGATGGTATAAATATGTGTCTGTATTTTAGATTTCTTACAAAGAAAATAAAAGGTTTGGCCTAATTGGGAAGTCTTCAAGAGTTAAACAGTAGTCTCTAAACATTTAGTTTATCTATTTTTCTCATCAAGGCAGCACTAAAAGTATAGCAAACAGAAGTAACACACTGAAGTAATTTTCTCTATTTTCAAGAAAGACTGACAAGAAAGACATTTCATTTGGAGAAAAGTTAAATCCCTTTTACTAAGTCTCCTTTGTACTGTGACCACTGCTTACCTTTTCCAAATTACTATCATTAGTTCTAACATATCTCAGTTATCTGGGCAAATAGCACCACTTGTTTTTTCCCTTATGTGCGCCATTTTTTCTTGTCTCTGCCATAGATGAGTCAGCCCTAGAAAGCGTTTATTCTCTCTGAATTATCTTAATCATAGTTCTGGGTCAGCCGAAATGCAAACAATTCCAAGAAGTCTTGACTGAGTGCCCCAAGTGACTGCAATCTCTCCCTCCTCTGAACAGACTTCAGACCTGAAATTGAAATCTAGAAAATGAAGGGAAATGCCAACAAAATATAGCTTGTTCCATATAATGTTAGTATGTTCTATACTACTCTTCTGTCTCCTGTTAGAACTTTGAGAGGAAACTTCACAGAGAATTCATCCCTACAATGGCCAACCTACTACCATGTGTGGATAATGTAAATAAGCACTTGAGAAGCAAAATAATGAAAATGGAATAGTGTGTAAGTAACAGGATTCATGATTTTTAGATCCCAGCTATATGTCTGGCAACAATGATGCATCATGTATTCCTTATTTATTTATGTACACATTACATATGAGGAACTGTGTTAGGCGTGTGAGAGACCCAATTAATAATTATAGTTGACAATGTGAAAGCAATATAATTTACTTAACAAAATGACAGACCTAAGGGGAGGTTAGAAATCTGGCAAACTAGTTACTTCACATTATTCTTATATCAACAGCTGTGTGGTTGGCCTTGAATTTCTTCCAGTTTTTCAGTAAATCAGAAATTTAGGAAATAAATGCTTCATATTATTGCAAAAGATAAAGCACAAATAATTTAAAAACTGCCTCACATTTTATAATTTATCAAAATAACAATGTTATTATTCACAAAGTGTGAATCATTTGTAACATAAGGCTACTTTGGGGAAAGGATTCTATAGTCAAATTCAGGAAATACCGCCTCATATTTCATTTTCTTAGAAATTCGCAAAGCATGAGCATATAAAGACTGTAAAAGCAGTAACAGTAAATAATCTTACTAAACTAAATGAATAATTCCAAAGTTACTTGAGTAAAGATTTTTGTTTTCATGGTATACTGGCCTTCTACTGAAATGAATTTGAAAACTGTTGATTTTTCAAAATATTTAATTAGAATGAATTAAATTATTAAAATATAGGGATTAAGTTTAATTCTTTCTTGTTTGTCTTTTTACTAACCAAAATTGGTAACAGTATATGATAAATTTCCACTTCCTTAAAATGTTTAACCATATAATCAATTTTTTTTGTTACAACAAACTTTACCTTCATAACTCCAAAAAAATTACTTAGCATTCATACCTTTATATAACTACTCACATATGTATATGTATATACATACATGTATACACATGTGTGCATACACACATATATGCGTATATATACATATAGCCACAACAGTGTGTGTGTGTGTGTATATATGTCAAGAATTGCAAACGAATCTGGGAAGTTGAAATGCTCAACAAATTAAATGAGAAAATAATTTGCAAAGAAATTTAAATTCTTTTTTTAAATTTATTTTATTATGTTATGTTAATCACCATACATTACATCATTAGTTTTTGATGTAGTGTTCCGTGATTTGTTGTTTGCGTATAACACCCGGTGCTCCATTCAGTATGTGCCCTCTTTCATACCCATCACCAGGCCAACCCACCCCCCACCCCCCTCCCCTCTAGAACCCTCAGTTTGTTTCTCAGAGTCCATAGTCTCTCATGGTTAAATTCTTACCTTATAATGTATACAAGTATACTGAAATGTGTATTTTGGTTTAAACTAAAAAGATAAAGCCATAAAAATTTGAAGAAAGTAGTGGAAAATATCTAGCTAATATGTAATTATAACATGTAGGCATATGAAAAATGAATATATTTTTTAAAGTCAGTATATATGAAGATGCTGATATAAAAATATCTGTACATTGAAAACATCATAAATAAGATTGAAAAGCAAACATCAAGTTGAGAAATAGGCCACATGGAAAGGACTCAACCTATTATGTTGACGATGAAGGGGTAGGAAGAGAATGAGCCAAGGAGTATAGGGACCTCTGGAAGCTGGAAAAGAGAAGGAAAAGAATTCTTTCCTAGACACTCCCAAAGGACTGCAGCCCCTGTACACCAATTCTAACACAGTAAGATCCATTTAAGACTTCTGATGTGAAGAACTATATAGCATAATAAATGTATTGTCTTGAACTACTAAATTTGTGGTGATTTGTTAGAACAGCAGGAGGAAACTAATATATCAAGCATAACTAAATATATTTTAGTATTTTGATCCCATTCTTTCACTTCAAAAGTTGGAAAGTATACATTCTAAGCAACAACAACAAAAGAATAAAGTAAGAGTCCTCTTTTCTCTCTGACATAAAGTTTGAAGTTCTCTAAATCCTGGGTTCAGCTACAGACTATGCAATTCCATCTGAAGGGTGTCTCTCATTAATGCTAACTAGTTCAAAGAAGAGTTTATCCACTGGGCAGACGACTATGATGGAGAACCAAGAAACAAATCCACTTTCTGAATACTCAAAATCATTGTATTTATATTTCAATATTAAATTAAGCTATTATTTTCTGTATCGTTATCTTTTAATTGCACCTTTTGGGATACCTCAGCAGGAGAGACATAATTACAAGGTGTGATATGAGCAATTTCACTTTCTTTTCTATTTATTCAGTGACTAAGAATGGTTGAAAATTGTCCTCTTATTTTTCTGGTATAGTATTCAGATATTTAATCTGATTTGAATAAGACTGCAAAGGGTTTCTAAGCAATTACTTTGCTCACACATTGAAACCACAGCCCTCATTAAAATATAATCATCAAGTTCTATTTTCTTCAAGAATGGAAACACATAATGCATTTATTGTCAATTTACTCTATAAGAAAAAAAGAGATTTGTAGGAGGAAATCTGCATCTTTAAGGACAAATTACCAATGCCTTTTAAATCCACAAATGATAGTGCTCTAACAACCATCCAAGTCTATGAAAAAGTTTAAATTGACAAAATGAAGAATGGCTCAGACTTACTTTCAAAGCAATACACCTATTTGCCTGCATAACATACCTAGGTGTACACATTCTTGGGAAAAAGAACTGTGTTTTTAAAGCATCACTGATGCAGGTAATATATAATAAGTGTGGTGTGTTTTGTTTACTGAGGTTTACAAATATAGCTCATTGCTGGCCTACTCCACATAATAAGCTAGTCAATCCTACAGAGCTTGTAGCATGATGATGAAAGATGTTGAGCAAGCACCTAAGCATTCCCACATACTTGCTGTCAAAATAATAGGTTCTTACTAGATGCCAGGTGCTTAAAACAATAAATGACTTCGTAAACATGTAACTGCATTTAGTCAAAATTTACATTTTGAACCAAAGACTTCACTTTAGTGAGCACCACTGAATATACACATTTATGTGTATATTAAGCCTTCAGAATATACACATTTATGTGTATATACATACAGGCATTTATTTATGTATATACAAATATATGTACACACACATCACATAAATTCCACAATTAAGACTGAATATAATCAGAAATTTTTTTCAGCCAAAACTTATTCTAGTCATTAAAATCTATAGTTGGAAAGCAATAGGATTGTATAGTTAAACTCTTTCTGCAAAAGGAAATCTAAGACCCCAAAATGTTAAGAAACCAAGCTGTATACAAATCAGGACTAAAAGTCAGTTCCTCTCAAGTGTTTACATCTGGTTGTTTTTTCTTTGCTTTATTCTCTACAAATAATACATAATATGCATGAGGTTTATAAGTATGTATAGATTTTACACTAATTTTTATAGGAACACATCAGGCTTAAAATTTTTAGTGAGAGAGAGCGACCTACAAACTCATGTTTAACATACCTGACTTATCTGAGCAATGCATTAACTCAAATCTTTCCCAGATATTTCTAATACAATGTATTCACTTACTGAATCTGTTTGATCTCCTATGTCTCTTTCCTTCCTCAGCCACATGTTAAGTAAAATTTAAATGAATTCACACAGTTGTAGATCTTATGCAAATGAATTAGAAAACTAAATGTTTTCTAATATTCTTGGATCTGTTTGAAGTCTTTCAAATGAATGTCATCTAAGGCAGATTTAAATATCAGGTATTTTCTTTTTTTTTTTTAAGATTATTTTATTTCTTTGACAGAGAGAGACTCAGCGAGAGAGGGAACACAAGCAGAGGAAGTGGGAGAGGGAGAAACAGGCTTTCCATGGAGCAGGGAGCCTGATGCGGGGCTTGATCCCAGGACCCTGGAATTATGACCTGAGCCGAAGGCAGACGCTTAACCAACTGAGCTACTCAGGTGCCCCAGTATTGGGTATTTTCTAGTGTGTTTTAAAAAGCAAGGCAAAATAAATCTTTCCTGATTTTGTTTTTTTTCTGATATACTACACCATGGTAGGGTAGGTTATGCACTGAGCTCGAGAGAGAGAGAAACAATGTTCTTTCCTATACCTCTTCCAAATGTTTTCAGAGTTTCTGT